TTTTTTTTTTCTCTCCCACGAAAGGTTTATTTTTTTAAGAGCTATTTATAGCACGACCGGTTTGGAGAGGCTCAGGGAATGCGACCTGGAAAAAATAACTTGGAGGAACAGTACCCTGCAGAGGAACAAGACAGCTAAGCCTCGGCTGGGCACACGCCGGAGAAACGCTTCGGGTGACAGAAGTGTCCTTGTTTTCCCAGCCAGGGATGCTGCCAGGGCCCTGCTGCTTCCCACAGTCCTTGTTCTCCTGTTCCTCTCCCCGGGAAAGGCTGTTGCACCTGCAGGGGGCCTGGTGGCACTTGTCCTCCCCGAGGGCTCCTGGTGGCACTCGTGCTCTCCGAGGGCTCCCGTCCTCAAGCGTCCGTCACAGTCCAGGATTTCCGCAGCGAGACCCGAGCCGGTCACTTGGGAGTCCGGGTGATGCTGGTGGCCGTGCTCATCCCATCACTGGGGGTCATCCCTTGTGCTTGGGGGTCCAGAGCGTGGGCACGGGACACCGGGAGCTTCTGGTGCCGGTGCTTGGTGCTGCAGCGGGCTCTCCATCGCTCTGCTGCTGCCTTTTCCATCTTCCCTGCTTGTTTTTGCCCCGGTCCTCCTCCCTCCCCGTGCCCATTATCCACTGGCACCCCCGGCTGTGTGTGGCACAGCCCCCGGCAGGGATTCAGCCCCCAGCTGTGGGGCACCCCCAGACAATTGAGGGATCCGGTGGTGGAAGGGCACAACGCTCCAAAGCCCGTGACCCATCCGAGCGCGCCGGCAGCAGGGGCTTTATCGAGAGCTAACGAGAGTAGCGAGCTAACACTAATTATCATTAGCAAGCTGACGAGTGGCTAATTAGCACAGACTCCACTAGTGCTGGTGCGATCCCCGCGTTCGGCTTTACCCCCTGCTCCGGCCGCCTCGCCGAGAGAAGCCGATATTCCCATCTGAACACCCCCGGGAGCATCCCCGGGAGCATCCCCGCTCCCCGGCCCCGCTCTCACAGCCACAGCCTGTCCCAGCTTTTGGGGGGCAGGGGGCAGGTGCTGGGGGGCTCAGCAGAGGCGGCGTGGACGTGCTGGAAGAGCCCCAGGAGGAGGGAATGCTCACCGCTGAGTGCGTGCTCCGTCATGCTCAGGCACAGGGACTCCAGCCTGTTGTTGATGTCAGGTTCAGTCACCGGCACCTGGAACTCTGCAGGGAGAAAGGGAATGGGAGACTCTGGTCAGGGACCTGGCAGGGAGCCTGCCTGCCTGCTCTGTATGGGAAAACCATCTGAAAAATGCCCCAGGAGAGTCTGGACTCTCAGTAAAATCATCTTCAGCAAGGGACACTCACAAAAGCAGTCATCACCCCCTGCTATCCACAAGGGATGGATCTGAGGGGGATGAGGTGCTGGTAAGAGATGTAAGGGGCAGCTGGAGCAAGAGCAGAACGCCACCCAGAGAGGGGGCAGCCCTGGTCATCTCCTGGGGATGGATGCTGTCCGTGCAGGCAGGGTTAGTGCTTGGACATGGGATGGCAGCACAGACCAGCAGAGCCACTGTCTGGCTTCCCTGGGACCAGCTTGGCTCCTACTCAGTTGCTGCCACATCCCTGGCGGGGTGAGCATAAAAAAGGGGACACACAGATGAAGTTTGGAGTGTTCCAACACCCCCATCCTAACCTAAACAGCAGCAAACTCTCCCCACCCTGCAGCAAAGCCTGCAAATACAGCTTGTGCTACTGTGCTGGACGGCATCTCCCGCTTTCCACTGGCTCACAGAACACGGGATGAGATCCAGGAGGGCTGAGGTCCCCCCACAGCCTGGCAAACAGTGGTTTGTGAGCCCAGCATCACATCATTGCTTATTTTCCTTGAGACTTAATCCACGTCTTTGGCTCCCCGATCCTCCCACGCCCTCATCCACCGCAGGCTGACGCGCAAAGAGAAACCCATTTATTCTCCTCCAAGGCCTGAGAAATGTGCCCTTGTCCCGGTGTTTAATCAATACCCAGGAACAGCTGCTGCTCCTGCTGTACGGAACATTTGCTGCCCAAATGCTGCAGTTTAACACTGCCGGCGTGTGAGGCCAGGGAGCTGCCAGCCCAAAGCAGCAGGAGCGCAGGGATGAGGGTGATGGATTCCCTGTCCCGAGGTGTAAATGGCTCTGCTGTGTTGGTAGGAAAAGGCACGCTCAAAGGCTAAGGAAGGGATACATAAACAGGCTTCCTCAGGGCCAGGATGCTCCAGGTCCAAGGGTCCAAGGTCAGCGGGATCCTCCCTGAATCAGAGGATGCTCCTATATCCAGGAGCACTTTGGCAGTGTTTGGGAAGGAAGCTGTGACACAGCACCATTTCCCTTCACATGCACTGTGGAAAGAATTTCCCTTGAGTGCGTGAAGGCAGTCCTTCCACACCGGGGCTCCGTGTCCATCCATGTGGAAAAAGTGATGGATGAGCCACCACCTTCCTCCTGATGTGAAACCCTCAGAAGCGAGCTAGGCAAGGCACCAGCACTGTAACATACAGATGGCACATACAGGGTCAAACATCCCCCCAGTGATGTCTGTGGTTAAGCCAGGAATTCAGAGATAGCCCAGAGGGACCACACTGTGCCAGCACGGGCCTGTGGGGAGGCTCACCAGCACAGCTCCTCTCACCTTTCCTCACCTCAGCTGGCTGTGGGTAAGTGGAAAAGCACCTCTGCTGCCTACCTGGCTGCTGAAACATCAGCATGGTCTGCGGGGACGTGTGGACCGGCAGCGAGCGCGTCCTCTGCACCGAGCTGTGGCTCCGGCTGGGCATGCTGTTACTGCCCCCAGGGTTGGCAAACCACAGGTTCTGTGGGGAGCAAACAGAGTGTGGGATGCAAAGCAAAGCCCTCTGTGCCATGGGTTCATAACCACTTTGGGCTTGTAGAATCACAGGATGGTTTGGCTTCGAAGGGACCTTACAGATCATCCTGGTACAACCCCCTGCCATGGCAGGGACACCTTCCACTGTCCCAGGCTGCTCCAAACCCTGTTCAACCTGGCCTTGGACACTTCCAGGGATCCAGGGGCAGCCACAGCTTCTCTGGGCACCCTGTGCCAGGGCCTGACCACCCTCACAGGGAAGAATTCCTTCCCAGTATCCCATCTAAATCTCCCCTCTGCCAATGTAAAACCCTCCCCTTTCTCCTATCGCTATCTGCTCTTGCCAAAATCCCCTCTCCCTGTTTTATAAGCCACTTTAAGGACTCAGCTCTTCCCCCTCTGCTGCTTGGTTGGTCCCCCTCCCTCTGCTCCCACTTCCACACCCCACTGCACACAGGGGAGCACAACCCAAACTGCTGCAAACTGCTTGAAGAGTGGGGGGAAAAAAGCGGGGATCCAGACAAGCTGGGGAAGGAAAAGCCAAGGAAGCTCTTGGGAAAGGGATGGAAGAACTAGAAACGCCGGGAACGCCGACCAACCTGTCTGCCTTGCTTGAGGATGGCGGGGCTGGCGGCAGGGCTGCGCTGGGGGGTGCCCAGCAGCCCCGTGGGGCCCAGCAGCCCCAGCCGGGCCGTGGGGAGGTTGCGGGAGGGGATCTGGAACTGCCGGGGGTTCCTCCGTGCCAGCCCTGCCCCCGCGGATCCGGCTGTCGGGAGCGAGTTGGACTGGCCAAAGCCTCGGCTGCGGAGAGAGAGCACCAGGGGTGAGACACTGACCCCTGAGAGGGGGCCCTGACCCTCCCATCCCACCAGGAGTGAGACACTGACCCCTGTGAGAGGGTCCTGACCCTCCCATCCCACCAGGAGTGAGACACTGACCCCTGTGAGAGGGTCCTGACCCTCCCACCCCACCGAGGTGGTCCCTCCACCCCGCTCAGGCAGCAGGAAGGAGGCAGTCTGGGTGTGCAGCATCCTCTCCCCGTCTGCCAGTAGCCTTCCTGCCCTTCTGCAGCTCTCAGATCCACACTGGTTTTCTTTAAAGCTTATTTTATTCCTGCAAAATGGGTCTGTTCATAAATACAATCTAAAATAATTCAGGTAATGCCCCTGGAACTTGATTTCTTTGAGATTTCTAATGAGTGGATTCTCCAGTGTCTAATTTAAGTTCAGCTTACGCTGTTGGGTTTTCTTTCTCCCCTTCCAGGAGGTTAATTTTTATATATATAGTCACCTCTGAGACTTCTCAAGTTCTGTAAAATTTGGTTAGAAAGACCTAAAAAATCCAAGTTTATTAGGGAGGGTGGAGCTACAGGTGCTTTCCTGAAATCTCATCCTGGAAGTTCCTATACTCCCAGTTAAACCGCTGACTTTCTGGGGAATAAAGAACTTGCAACAAACCAGGCTTTGCAGAATGAAACAAAGGGGTGAAGCTGTTAAAAGTGATTTAAAAGTCTTTTTTCTTGGCATAATTCCCATGCTTTCTAGGCTCACCTGAAACCCAGCATCACCTTGGAAGTGAGCAAACGTGGTGCTCCCAACACAGCCCTGCCTGGCTCTCCGGCTGCACCTCTGGCTCTGCACCCTCTGAAAGCTTCCAGCCTTTTTTTCTGCCACTTGACAGCTTTTTGAGGAAACTCAAAAAAGGCAGCAGGGAAAGAGCCTGCTATTGGGGATACTCTGCACAGCTGGGAAGTGCTGGGTTTGGAGCCACAGAGACAGGGTGGGACCGGAGGGCAGGGCAGCGGCCACACGCACAAAGACACTGCTGTGCTCCCTTCCCAGCCAGCGCCTGGGATTTCACTGCTGAAGCTTTTCCAACCCTCCCCCTTCCCTAAACACGGCTCTGAGCCCAGCAGAACCCATCTGGGAGGCATTGCTCCCACTTGGAGTGCTCTTGCTCTGGCCACTGCATCCATCCCTCCCGAAATCCCGCATACCTCCTCTGCTGCCGATAGCCTGACAGCTCCAGGAGGGATTTCCGAGGGAAAGACCGAAAGAGTTTCTGCACCTGCTGTTTCCATGACAGCAGCCGCTTCTTCTGGAGCTCTGTAAACGCCTGTCCAAAAAAAAATAATAAACAAAAAAGAGAGAGAGAAATAGGAAATGTATGAATATTCTTCTGGACACAGCGAGCAGGAACGTGCAGGTGGGTGTGTGGGTAAAGAAATGCAGCTGGAGCAGGTGATGGGGTGAGTTGAGCCCCATCAGAATGTCCAGAGGGAAACACTGGTCTTTCTTCAGGATGCACTGATCTCAGGTGGAGAAAATGCTCTGGCAGCATTCCCTGTGTCCCAGAGTGACAGCCCAGTTCTGCCTCAAGGCTGCCAACTCCTTTTGGCAGAGCAGAGGTTTGACAGTGGGTCCTGACTGGTGGTGACACTTGTCACCTGGATGTGGCTCTAGAAATGCTGCCAGGGTGGGGAAAGCTGGGATTTGGAAAACTGAGCTGCCCTGAGGCATCCTGCATCCTATCCCCCTTCTTGGGGCTGGGCAGAGCTTGGTACAGGAGATCACCCAGGGTGAGCCTGTCACCCACCCAGGCTCCCTGCAAAGGTCACCCTGGCAGGGACAGACCTGCTCCCAGAGCTCCAGGCAGGAGATGAGGGTGACAGGGACACCCACGTGCCAACACTGCTAACTTTAGACACCCGAGGTCTCTGTTGGAGAGAAGCAGAAGTCTCCAGAGGACAATCTGGAGGCTAATTAGTGCCTGACTTGATTGCTCTGAACTACTCTGGAGGAGATGCTCTCTCCTGGCGCTGATTATCCGGAGCCAGCACAGGGGGTGGTCCTGGGACACGGGCTGGCTCTGGTGGGAAAACTGCAGGCACTGTGGGAAAAGCTCCATGTCCTCCTGGCTTTGCTGTCTGGCCCCAGGCTGCAGCTTCCACCACTTCTGCTCCCTGACCCCTGCTGTAGGGGCAGGTGATAGAAGCAGCTTTTTCTTCCAGGCACTGCCAGCGTAGCCAGGAGACACTGCAGGACACCAGGGACACCGGCCATCCCTCCCTGCCAGCAGGCAGGAGCGTGCCAGAGCCCTGTGGCACAGTCTGGGCCATCCCAAACCATCACCCAGCCAAGGCAGATCCGCTGGGAGCAGAAACAGATGTGAAATCCCTGTTGCAAAATCCCAAGGCCACGTGGTGCAAAACAGGAGGAGGCAACGCCAAGGGACGGCCGGGTCTGTCTGATGGAAGCAGCCTGCACGTTCATCCCGGGATTCTTTCTTTCATCCAGCTGCTGATGGGACTGTCATGAGCCAGATGAATTTCCCAGCTTCAGGCCTTGGCAATTAAACCAGCGTGGGGGGAAGCAACATTTCCATGCACCACGTTGGAGCTACTGCCTGCTCCAAGCCTGCTCTGTCAGAATTACTATTAATACCCCCCAAAAATATTTGTGCTAGAAACCAAAAGGTTTACGTAAACAGACACTTTGGAAACAGTTTCCAAGTGATGAGAACAACATTTTTAGATGATCTGACACGACTCACCTCATGGATTAGACATTTGTCTATGAGCTGTAAATAGGAACTTATATTCTCTTCATCGGGTCGGGAAACTAAAAGTTGTGTGCAGACTGGAAAAAAAAAGAAGAAGAGAAGGGAAATGGGGATGGGGACACTAAGATGGGGCCCAGGAGGGGTCCCACAAACACTTTGGACATCCTGTTTCCCTTCTAAGCACGAGTAGGTTTTTTATCAGTGAGAAAAAAGCACCCTTCCCCAGTCCCTGCTGTGTCTTCCTATATTTAGGGCCAGATTTTGTTCTCTGTTATGATGGTATAAATCCAGAGCAACACCACTGGAGTCCCCAAAATTAGACCTAAGCAACTCAGGGCCACAGGATTAATCCCTATTCATAGGCAAGAGAGCTCCTTGCTCCCAAGGCCAAAATGTGCCCTCAGTGCAGAGTGGTAGATTCCCACCTTCCCTGGTGAATTTTAACCTCTTTTGGAATGAATGTCATTGAAGGAAGTAGGAATGAGCTCACAGAGGAATGAGTTTCTCCTGCTGTAAACCCCTGGGCAGGGAGGCCTGGGGGTCCAGGAGGACACCACATCTTGGCAGGGCTTGTGCCACACTTTGGCATTTGTCACAGGAATAAAATGGGGCTGGAGCCCCACATGTGGCTGGTTCTGCAGGCAACCAGCTGGGGACAAGTTCTGCTCCAGGTTTCTGTACAGAAAACATCTCAGCTACTTTTTTACAAAAATGATTTGAAATAGAGATAAGGCTGATATTTCTTGTGGTATCCCAATGAGGTTCTTCCTGTTCCCAGTCTCCTAAAGATGAGACCCCCGTTCCTCATGGAGGGAGATCTCCCTCCATTTAGCCAGAACTGACACCTCAGGTGACACCAGCAAGGGTGAGGGCATATCTAAGCTCACACAGATTTGTTCCAAGAGCCCTGAATACTGCACAGGAGGTTGGTCCCCACCTCAGCTTGCTCCTGTCACCTCCCAGTGTGCTATCCCTGATGCAAAGCTGCACACCCTGCACTACACATGGAATGGCATCAGAGTATTCTGGAAGTCCTGCATCCAAACTGGGGCATAAAAAGGGAATTGGACCCACTGATTTGCACTCAAAATGGCTCATGTCCAGCCCACACATCTCTGCTACCCTGCTCCAAGCAGAGTAAGTAAAAAGGGATGTTGTTCAAAACATCTCTGGATCAGTGGGATGACCCCAGGGCTCTGGGTGGGAAGAGAAAGTGGAAGTGAAAGGACATCTTCCACTCCTGCCCTCTGGAAAAGTTGTGATTTCTGCCTCTGACCTGGGGCAGGGAGAGGATGTTTTCCACCTCGGACCTGGGGCTTGGAATGCACACTATCTACCTTGGACCTGAGGCAGGCAGCTTGGGCCATTGCTGCCCTTCCCCAAAAATCACTGCCCTTTCTTCTTGCCTCCAACCCCAGCATGACAGAACCTCAAAAGCCCATCGCCCCTCAGTCTGGGACCTGCAGGAGCTCAGGGAAAGGCAGCTGCCAGCGCTGCCCACCTCCTGCCCCAAAGGAACCCTCCCTAGTGAAGAGCCCCCAGCTCACCGAGGACAAGTGACAGCTGCTCACCTTTCCCCATCACTCGGGTGAACTGGCCAGGCAGGTCACCCTCGGGCAAAGGGGCCCCCCCGGACTCGCCCTCGCACCCCGGCAGGTGATGCTGCTGCATCCCGGCCCCCGCCGAGTCCTTGCACTCCGAGCCTTGGCTGTCCGAGCCCAGCAGGGAGGAGGGGTGGTGCGAGTCCACGTCCCGGCCGTGCTCCTCCGTGCTCGAGTTTTGGCAAGAGTAGGCTTTGATGGGGGTGAGGATCATTTGGTGCAGCTCCTGCAGCGGGACACGCAAGTTGCCGCCTTCCAGGATGTCCTGCGGATGGAAGCGGAGAGAAGAGGGTTTGTCTTGGCGGGGACAGAGGGACATCAGCTGCAAACCAGACCCCTCCTGTGACCCCCTGAGAATTCCCAGCTTTGCTCCTGCTTCAGGATCCTGCTGCACTCCACAGTCAACAGCCAGCTTTCCTTCAGCAAGTCTTTTCCTTGTATCAGGGGAGTGCTGCAGGGATTATCCCTGATGTGTTCAGATCTGAATCCCCAGAGATAAATGTGCCCCCGTCAACTACTGCGACCCAAACCCACCAACAATCCAGCTTCCACCAGGGAAATGGCAAGTCCATGAAAATGACTGATCCTGGGAGATTTCAATGCCCAGAGCAGCAAATATATTTTTCATTCCCCAGCAATCCTACAGTGCCAACATTTCAGCTCTATTTCATTGGAATTACATTAACATGGGCTCATTTCCCTTTTCCAGCACTGCCTTCAAGCCTGGCTCCCATTAACTGCTTTGTCCCAGAACTGCTTGCCATGGCATCCTCATGCTCTGGGATCATCTCAGAGCCCATGCTGGGATGCAGAAGCCTGTCCTGTGGCAGCAGTGGGGACAACCCTGTTCACTCTGGGATGGGATGGGCTGGGGGAGTGGATGCAGAGGGCACTGGGAGGGTTTCAAGAGGAGCAGGTGGTTTGTGGCCACACACAGAAGGGGACACCACAAGGTGAACTGATAACTCCCACAGCAAAACCATTCAGCTTGGAGATCTCCAGGAGGGAGGGAATTGGGTGCACCCCAGCCTGGTTCTTGGTCAAGAACTCCATTTCCATGGTCAGATCCTTGTCCCACTGATGGGAAATAACTGCATTTTGTTTTTAATGTAGCCTGGACCAGAACAGCTCACTGCAGGCTCCTGCACGGTCTGGCTCACGGGACACTGCTTGGAAAGAGGCAACTTTTGGAGTGAATCCTGATGCACTGAAGGAAGGGACACTAAGTGGGCACATGGGATGTGTGCAAGCCCTGAAACAGTTGTTGATTCTAATTCCTGCTGCATTCCCAGCTCGCTCTTGGACATCCCAGCTCCATTTCTCTGAAAGTCCTGGTGTCAGTCTGCTGGGCACTGTTTTTTTGGGAGAAAATCCTGCCATGCTAGCTAACAAAGGGGGTGGAGCAGCTCTTTCCAAGAAAGCAGCAGTATTTAGCAGTGAGACACTGCCCAAAAACAAGTCCCACACATGCTCTTGTTTAGCAAAAGTTGGATGGGAAGCCTGGAAAACCAGAGACGTCTCCTCCCAGGGAAAGCAGCTCACAGGCAGCTCCGAGCCCCAGCAAAGCGGGACAGGGTCACAGTGCCACAGCCCAAACCCTTCCCTGGAGGGCTCCAACCAGTCCCTGCCACTTTCCTCCTGTATTTTACAGCGTGCCTGCCTGGCTGGGCTGGCTGAGCTGGGCTCCAGCTCCTGCACAGAGCCACTCAATCAATACCAGATTCCCAAATCCCGGCGGAGAAGCCGAGGAAGAGGCTGTGCAATCGCCTGGAAAACACAGAGCTGCAGCCAGCTCCATCCAGCTCCTTGGATTTAATAGTTATTATCAATAACGGAGGTAAATATGGCTTTATTAGTTCCTGCCATACTCTGAGCACAAGCCCATATTATAAATAAATAGTGAAGCAGTGAGCTAAGGAAAACACCAATAAATAGCAACACACCACAGAAGTATTTAAAAGCCCCTAGTGGGAGGCTCTGCAAGTTGCTGTTTGAAGATGGTGCAATTAAATATAATATAATACAGTGATAATAAATAGGAAGAGGTTGGGTGAGCTGCTCCCAGCTAGGCTGTGGTGCTGCTACTTCCCCAAAAGCCTTTTCTGCAGGTTTTAAGTTTTTGCTGGTGATAAAAAAGTTTATTTATTCTCCTTGGAAATTGAAGATGTTGTTCAGGCACTGATGTGGGTGCCTGGTGTTTTATCTGGGGACAGGGTGCCCATTATGATGTTCCAGGAAGGCTCAAGGCTTTCTGAGCACCCTGGAGCTGGCCAGGGCTGCAGGGCACATCCATCCCAGCTGTGTGAGGTGTGGGAGATGCATTGGGACCCACTCTGTGAAATACAGCTTTAAGCAATGTGGTCTAGTGGAAGGTGTGTCCCCCACCACAGCAGAGGGTTGGAATTGGATGGTCTTTAAGGTCCCTGCCAGCCCAAACCATTCTGGAATTCTGTGAAATAAAACCTGCATTAGATCCCCACAATACGTGCAAGCAAAGAGTGCTTCACCCCAGAATTCATTCCTGCCTTTGTGAAAACACAAGAAATACAAAGAATGGTTGTGATTACTTACCCCTTCTAGAGATTTGAGCAGGTTTTGTCTTTCTTTTAGCTTTTGGATACTGATGACTATTTTGTGTCTCGCGCCTTTGGTAACATTCTGCAAAAACAGGACAAAATTTGATGTTGGCACTTCCACAGGGCAGCTGGCTCAACCCAAACCCTTCCTCTCCTAAACAGAAAGGGCTGCTAGAAGTTAACTACATTTTTGAGCGCAGGGATTTGTGAGTGACATAGAAAATCACTTAGAGACTTGCTGAAGATGGTGATTTCCAGCTAGTCTGTTCCTCCCTGGTGCACCTCACACATGGAAAGCAACTGTGTTCCCACTCCTCGTTATCTCAAGGATAATGTAGAGTTGAACCTGACAGCAGTGGGGGTTGGAACCAGGTAATCTTTAAGGTCACTTCCAACCCCAAACAGCAGTATTCTATGATTCTATGACATTTTCAAAGGTAGTCAGCCATCAAAACCCCACTGACTTTAGGGAGCTGGCTATACCCCTGTAACTCCTGAACTTAATCCCAACTGGGAAAAAAGCCCCAAGCTCAGCTCCCAGTGATGGCACTTCCATGCCAGGACTCCAGTAAGCATGTGGAGGTAAGTTTTTTTTTTCAGCTCCAATGTGAGATTTTTTTTTTCACTCCCCAAGACCCAATTTCCCTTTTTCTGCTTCCCAACCACGGGAAGACACACAGAGGGTGTTTGGAAGCTGCCACCCCCCAGGTGACGTGGGACGTACTTGTGCCTCGAGCTGGCATTCGGTGAGGGCCATCATCTCCTCGTACGTCATCTGGGAGAAGAGGGCAGCGTACTTGTGCAGCCGGAGGCTCTTCAGCCAGGCTGGGACATCTGGAGCACAAAGGTAAGGACAGGAGAGCTCCACTGAATTCATGGAATGGCACAACCACGAGCGACAGCATCGACACCGGCACGAGGGGCATCCCAAGGGACACCTCACTGAGCTTGACGGAGCTTTGGGAGGACACAGGGCTGTGGATGTGGATGGGACAGGGAACCAGCCCCTGGAGGAGGACACATCCTCAGAAGTTAGGTTTCTGTGGGAAAGCCATTGGGAATTAGCCCATGGGGAGCTGGCATTGTGCCACTGCACGCCAAGCTCCTCGCTGCTTTCCCAGGAACTTGGGAACTGCTGAAGCTCATGGGGTGGATGAGTTTAGGACAAGCAAAGAGCTGTTTTGTGGATGGCAGACACTGATTTATGGCATGAGGGAAGGTGGCATGCGCTGAAAATGGAACCAGCTGCTTAAACAGAGTTAGAGAGATGGGTTTGGGATGGAAAAATGATGTGCCATCAAAGATGGCCCCACACCCTGCTTCAAAGAGTGACTCGGACCTAAAACGCACTGACTGAAATGATTTCTTCCTTCCCAATCATTACCTGCAGTGTAGCACCTCTATGCCCAGCTGGAGGGGGTGCCCAAAAATACAATATCCTCCTGACATCAACATGGTTTCACAGTGAGGAACCTGGGAGGGGAATCCTCCCTCTGTGACACTCAGAAGAGCCCCAGGGACTCCTTGATGGGGTGTCCTCCACGGAGAAGGCAATGTGACAACCAGCAGCTACGCAGGGTTTTACAGGTTTGGGGGTCTGTGGTGTCACCCCACAAGGGAGGGGGGCCCTGCAGGTGTTTGTGCTGCAGCACAGCACCAGGCCTGTGACAACACTTTTCCTTTGCTTCAAATGCTTTGCCAAACTGAGACCTGCTTTGTTCAGCACCTACAAGCTGACAGGAGCTCTGCCACAGTCTGCCCAGCTGACGTGCTCCACTCCCAGCAACACCTTGTCCCCTTCCCCACCAGTGACACACCCAGGAGCTCATTCCCACTGCTGGGACATTCATCTCATGGTGTGGGTCCAGAAAGTCCCACACTGTTGAGTACCACACCCAAGCCAAGGATTGTCCATGACCTCCTCCTGAACCAAGGCCTCATCACTGGAAGGGACGGGGCAGGAGGGACCTTGGTTTGGTTCCCTAAGGCAATCCATACATCTGCCAGATGTCTCCTGCTGCCTGGGCTGATCCCAAACCCACCTTGCATCCAAACAATCCCAACATGCTGAGTCCTGCTCACACTCTCCAAATCCCAGACACACGTCAGGATTCACGTGTCAACGAAATTCCTCAAGTGCTGCACGCTCCGGAGATCAACCCCACACCAAACATGGGGAAAAGCAATTACTGAGCACAGATGGGCTGAAATTCACCATTTTCCAAAAGCTCTGGCGTGCAACAGTCCCAAGTCTGCTACCAGCAGCAAAAAGCCCCATTTCCAGGACAGGCTCAAATCTCAACATCATTTTAACACAAAACCACACCATTCTAGTGACAGGACATTAAATGTCTCCCTCACCTCCTGCCCCCAGGGCACACGCCTATGCTAATGGCAAAGCCCACAGAAATACTTCCAGAAGAGAGATGCAACTTCATGTAGACACTGAACCCCGCAGGAAATCCATCTCCAGCCCTTGCAGAAGCAGCTCTTTGCTTTTGCATCAGCCTGGCTGGATCATGCCTTAATTTTGGGGAGAGTGATGGTCCCAGTGCCCCCCAGCCAGCAGAGATGGCAATCCTGGAAGCAGGGTGGGGAGAAGGAGCCACCCCAGAACATGGTGGGTGTGTTGTGTGTGATGGAGCTTTCCCCCTTCCTATGGGGAAGAGGAAACTGGAGGTGCAAGGACATCCAAGGGGATTTCATGGTCCTTGGAAACTTCCCAATGCTCTCCACGGATGGGTGAACCACCTGCCTGCAGAGCTACTCCTTAATCAGCAACTGCCAGGAGCTAATTGCAAAGTCATGGCACAGCTGTCAGGAAATTTGGAAGGAAAACAGCTCACCTGCCATATTTACCCACAGGACACCTTGGATAAACTCCCAGCAGAAACCCCCAGCTCTACCCAGACCTTCCTCCTGGTGCTCCCCAGGCCATGCACCAGGAATCACAGAACCCTGGAATGGTTTGGGTTGGAAAGGACCTTAAAGATTATTTAATTCCAACCCCTTGCCATGGGCAGGCACATGGGAAGGGACAGACAGACAGACAGACAGGCTCCATGGAGAGCCAAGTGTCTGTATCTTCCCCAGGAGAAACCAAGATATAGGATAAAGCCAAAGGGCATTTTCCCTTCAGCATGAAGATAGATGGAAAGAAAATAAATGGGAGATATGCGAGCATAAAGATCAACAGAAAGGAAAGAAATAGGTGACACAAACTGGTCAGGCACAGGGGATCTGTCATAGGTGCCTCACATTCCAGATCCTGTGGGTCTGGGATGCTCCTGGGTGCCCTGGAGGCTGTCAAAGGAGGAACCAGCTGACCAGGAGCAGGGGTGACACCCAGCCACAAGAGCCTGCAGGCACTCGGGGAGACGTGGCTGCAATTCAGAGAAGGGACTTGGCAACCAGAGCAGCCGGTCTGGATGGAAAACGAGGCAACCCAATAAAAATTCAGCAAGTTCTGCGTTTCTGTAGGAACAAGAAACGGCACGATCGGGGTGCAGGGAATGGGCAGTGCTCTTATTGTTTTTCAGGAAAGCTGTGGGGATACAATGGGTCATATGCAGCCCACGGTGCTTTGTTATTTGAGGACGATGAGCTACACAGCCACAGGAATGCTGTCTGGAGGCAAACAAGCCTCTGCTCTGCTTCCAAGTCCAGTTTTGGGCAACACACCTTCAATAAAACGCGGAGTTTTTGGAAAGAAAACCTGGCGGAGAGAAGCGGGAACAACCCCAAGTTTAGAAAACATCATCTGGAAAGGCACCGGAATGGTTCAGCCTGAAGAAAACCCAGCTGATGGGGGGAGGACACGGCAGGCATGGACACCAGAGGTTGTGAACATCTGTTCTGCATGTCCCTGGACAGGGGGACAAAAGCCATTTGGCTGAGTCAGCAGCGAGGGAATCACGTTTGGGAGTCTGGGAAAAAGGGATGTGTTAATAGGTGGGGGTTGTTAAATTGATCACTGCTCGTGGACAGCCTCTGGGTCTTGTGGACTTGGCCACACAGGTTGATTGCACGGCACTGGGAAGTTTCTGTCCACGCAGATCCCGGAGCTGCAGCTGTGGATCACAGGGAGCCAAGCTCCCCATGGTCTCCTCCCCAGCTCCTTCTGCAGAAACCTGGAGAAATGTAGTGTTAAACAGCACCCCCACCACCAGAAACACTTGCTCCCAAAAAGTTCTCCCTGGCCCAGACAGACTGCAGGACCCGACCTGCCTCTGTTGCATTCCTTGATACCATGAGGGGTTTTTCATGCATTTATTTCATGCACATCAAAGCCATCCAGAGCCAAGCCAAACACAGTCCCACATCCCACAGATTTATCCATATCTCAATTTGTCTGTAATTAGACTAAAATCAGGCCTTGCAACTGTTAAAAAATACAATTATTTCCCTTTTCTGATACAACACTGGTTTGTACACAATTGAGCTGCTTTGCATTAATGCAAATTGGAGTTGTTTAAATCAGTCTGAGAGCTGCAGGATCATTTTCAGTCTGTTCCCAGGAACACACAGTCCATGTGTTTGCCCAGTTTTTATCTGTTCGTTCCTCCTCAGCCTGAAGTTTGCTCTGCATCTTTGACTGCAGCAAGTGGGGTTCATTTCTGCCTTGTTTACCACCAGAACCACATATATTTTTGCCAAAATCTCTGTGAAATGTAGGTATAATGGGAAAAACAACCGAAACACACAGGTTAAATTCACTGCAAACAAGTGTTCCAAGCCAAAACTTCCCCAAGTACTTGGTGGGTACCAAACACTGCGATGGTAATCACACATGGCTTGCTAAGCTTGCTCTAAGCTATTTTTCACTGTCATTAAAAAAAAAAAAAGAGTAAAAAAGAGCACAAATCGCAGCCAAAAGCCACAGGCTATGGAAAAAACCCAGCTTTTTGGAAAGCTGGCAGTTCACAGGATTTTGGGGCAAAACCAGCCCACTGGCACCCGAGTGTAAGACGTCAGATCAGGACCAGCTGCTACTTAAAAGAAAACCCAACGCATTCCCCTAAACCTAAATTCCTAAGCCTGGAAAGAAAAGGCTGGGAGGCCCCGTTTGGTGAGGAGGATCCTCGCCCAAAGCCGCCAACCGAGAGCCCCGCGCTGCCGGGAACGCGGCTCTGCCCCTCCTGCCTCTGCCTGCTGCGGGGTCGGGGTCTGGGTTGTCACTCACCTTTCATCCCACTCCCTTCCTCCTGGAATGTGTTACGAGCGGAAGGCTGATCTTCTAAATGTTCACTCCCACCACTTCCCGAAGAGGCTACACTGCTTTGTGGAGACAGGGGGGCATGATCGGAAGGGATGCACTGGGGTCCTCTAGCTCGTAAGTCCTCATGAGACATCCATCCATGTCCTAGAGGTTGGTTTGGCACATTCATGGGTGGGGTAAGGGACACAGAGCGTTTCAAAGGGCTGTGGTGTGTCTGGCCTGAGAGAACTGAAAAAAAAATAAAATCAAAGAGGTTATTCCCCCCTCGCGGCCCAGGATGCAGCAGAGTCCCCCGGAAAAGAAAAATATAAAAATAATAAAAAAAAAAATCAAATGAAATTATAAAATGTGTGGTGGTGGTTGGCCATGGTGCCTCGCTGATGGCTTTGCAGCAGCCCTGAGCCCTACCCTGAGCTCTCTGCTTTGCCTCCTGGGAAGCAAAAAGGATGGGAGTACCTGCAAGGAGATGGGATTGCATGATCTACGTTGGGCTGCTCAAGGCAAGGTGCTGCGTGGATTCCATCTCTATGGAAAAAAACATCAATTGAGCAGTTCTGGAGGGTAAAAATCCCCAGGATGTGGATGTCCCCGTAGAGATCCAAGGGAAGCATCTCTGTCTCTCCCTTTGGGTTAGGACCTGGCTCGTAGCCTGAAGCAGGGGCACTTACACATCTCCCAAAATCATTGCAAGGGTACTTCTCATCCATAGGAATGTCTCAGCCCTGTTGAGTCTTACTAAAATCACAGAATCACGGGATGGTTTGCATTGGCAGGGGCCTCACTGATCTCATTCCAACCCCCTGCCATGAGCAGGAACACCTACCACTAGATCAGGTTGCTCCAAGCCCTGTCCAACCTACCCTTAAACACTTCCAAGGGCTATCTCTGTATTAAATACTGAAAAAAAGTACTAAAAGACTGCTCTGTTTGCTTAACAAAATTCAAATTCCATCACTCAGAATCACTAGAACTACTGGTTTAACCATAAACGCAGCGTATGTAATTTAATGTACAGATTTAGAGAAAATTTCCCTGCTCCAGGAAAATCTGAGGGCAGAGGGGTTAGAATGACCTTTCAGCCTACAAGAAACAGAAGCAAAAACTTTTCAATTTTTCTTTCCAAACCAGATTTTTAAACTGTACAAAACCTGGGGGAAATTCATTGTTCTCAAGGCTTTTCCATCTAAAGCACCAAAGCCCTAAAGCTCCTTAATCCCCTTTTTTTTTGCATTTACAGCAGTTCATCAAAACCACTCAGACTCCTCTCCGTGTTATTATTTAATATAAACCAGTCTTGGTGGAAAACCCCCAGCCAGGTGCATTGTGCTGCAAAGGTTAAGCCAGGCTTAATTCCCAGCTCAAGCCTGGGGGAAAACCCATCAAAGCCATCTCTGCTGACCAGGAGAGGGATGGAAATGAGGCAGTAGTGGGGTTACAAAAGGAGGGGAGAGAGAAACACCAGAGCACATTTGCATTTATTAACCACCTGCAAAAAGCAGCTGGTACCACAGGCAGCTGCTGGATGACGCCAAAAAACCTGTGGATTTCTGTAATGTTTAAATAATTCCTACTTCTGAAAGGGTTTTCTTGTGCCAACATGTAACACTGACACCACGCTCTGCAGGGAAGCACTGGGGTGGCTTATGGGGAGGAATTTGTTCCCTTCTCATTTGAAAACCATACAAACAACTTCCAGAAGTCTCTTGGCAGAAAAGGATGTCAATGAGATCCTGAGACTTCATCCAGAGCAGTGCTATGCTTCCTAAAGCTGTGATACATCCAGATGGGGAAATAGATGGATTTGAGAAGGTCCTGCCTAAGATTTTTCAGCTCTTGGCTTTGCAATTGTACCCAAAAAACAGCATCTCTAGATGCCACATCACCCTCCAAGGAGAAAAATTTATTTAGGATTTAAACCCCCCAAAATAGAGGGGGAATTATAGGGGGGAAAAAATGGATAAATTGGTTAAAATGCATCATCAGGGCTGAGAATTGACTCTGCAGCACCCAGAGCCCTTCTGTGCCTGCTGCCCCAGCCACGGTCACTCTGCCATGGGGAGAGAATCCACCCTGAATTTGTTGTAGGAAAAAACTCTGGTTTAGGAAATATTTGTGCCCCTCTGATGAAGGAGAGATGCAGGAGAAGGGGCAAGGAGGACTGGGGTTAATTGTGGCCTTCCATGGAGTCAAAAGGCTGCTCTGCTGATCTTACAGCTCTTACAGGGTGTGTGCAGACACCGGTACCCAGCAGCTCACACCACCTTCTCTCACCAAAACCTGCACACAAAGAGGGTATTTTTGGCATAAATCCAGCTCAGATTCCTTCACAAGCAGCAATACCCCTGCAAACTGCTGCTCTTCCATCTTAATTTTATGTCCCCTAATTAGAAGGCTGGATCCGAGAGAACGTGTTTTACCACGCCAAATTTGTACTGAACTGTGAGTCAGCTCACACAACCCCCTGAGATGCAGCAGGGATAATCCCTCTGCAAAGGATGCTGCGAGTCCCCAGCTCTTTGAAACCACCCCAGCTACCCTGGGGACCACACTGAGATTATTTCAGGGCTCTTAGCACCTGCCTAACTTTAGGGTTTGCTTTCTGGCTGTAACAGACATTGGTGATAATGTGGTTTCTTGCAAACCCTCTTACCCATTTCCATCAGCCCTAAAAATGCTGAGAATTCTGGGATGGCACCCCTCTTTTACTCTGTAATCCCCCAGATGCCCATATTTATTATATTTATTAATAATGTTTATTAATGCTGCTGCTTGTGGTCACGCCCTCAGTTTCTCAAAATAAGAGGATGTAGCTAATTATTTCCAAAGCAACAGTTTATTGTAGGTCCTGACCTGAATTTGACCATTCTGTGGGCTTTTTGGATGGTCCAAGGTGAATCCAGGGCTTCTCTTGGCTAAAATGAATGGGCTTTCACTTCAGCAGAAGAAAACCAAGTGTGAGTTTATCACCTTACACTCAAGCCTCCTTTCCCTTTACTACAAAAATATAAAGCTTTAATTTAAAAAGAAATTGTAAAATGTTATTCTGGGGCAAGATAAGCTCCCAGGAGGTGGGTGGGCACAGCTGCCTTTCTGTAAGACTCTGCACAGGCACTGCCTGGTCCAGCTCCTTCCAAACTGGTGTCCAGTGGGACAGGGGCTGGAGCAGATCATGGCTTTCCCCAGAATAAGTGGGTTGGTGTCTCCTCTTTGCTCTGAGCAGCCAGGATTGTGTCAGCCCACACCAGCCCAGGTTTCCTTGCAAGAAACCTCTCCATGACCTCCAGACTGGGATCAAGCTCAGGGAAATATTAGCAGGTTAAAAAAAAAAAAAAAAAAAAAAGAGAATAAAAGAAAAAAGTGGAGGATGGAGAAGGAGTGATGGCAACAAAGCTCCCCATCACAGGGGGCAGCTGCTGACCACGCTGGGAGCATCCCTGTGGGACCACCCCCTCCCTGGGTAAATCCAGATTTATCTCAGACCAAAGCCTGGCTGGGCTGGCAGGCACCACAACACACTTATAGAAACTCTGAGGCTGCAAGTGCTCTCACCCCCTGAAGCCTTGGGTTTGGGATTTCCCCCCTTTCCTTTTGAAGTGGTGCTGCCTATTTTGGGAGGCAAGGGCTGATTTCAAGAGGGTTTTTGTTCGCTGAGGGCCATGTGGAACAGCGTCACACATTTGTGTTGTGGTTTCTCAGGGTTTTGGGCCAATTTTTTTCAGCCTGAGAAGGGAAAAGCCACCCATTCCTGTAATTAGAGCTGAGGAATTGGGCTTTGCAGGCAGACCTTCCTCCACACAGCGTGGGACAGCTGACAAGGTGCTCACTCTCCCTCTGCCCTTCATGAAATCTGGCTCAGAGTGCTGCAAAAGTCCTTGAAAGGACACAGGTGTGAGAGTTCCCAGTGAGAACCAAACCCACCAATTGGGATATTCAGAATGTCTCCAGCCTCTCCATGCCCCAGACACCCAAAGGACCAGCACAAGATCCATACATCAGGTTGCAATTCCAAATAACATCTTCCCTGTGCATGCAGAAAGGAAAAAGCACTGCAAGGTGCATACTGAACTCTTTAGGATCTTCTTTTGTTTTTTTTTAGTCTAAAAATGGCACTTCCTGGCTGCAAAGCTGTTTATGGTGCATCCTCAGGCAGCATCTGATCACATACAGCTCCTTTCCTGGTCTGTCAGTACCTGGAACAGCAGCCTGACCCCAAAAAGTGGGGATGTTTTTAATCCACACAAGGTTTTGTGCAGCCTGGGAGCTCCCCTATTGAGAGGGGACACTGAGAAATCCCCTCACAAAGCAAACCCCAAGTTCAGCTCAGTCCTCCCCTCTCTCTCCTCCTTGCTATCCCAGTCACATCCTCTCCTCCAGGAAGGCTTCCCCGTGCTGGCACACCAATGCCCAGGGCTTTTCCAGCCTTTCTTTGCCGAGAACCCTTGGAAAGAGCTGCCAGTGGGTCACACTGCCCAGCTGGCACCCAGCATCCTTCCTGGGCACCTCATTCACCCTCTCCCCACACTGCCCCAGGCAGCTCCAGCACGGCCAGAGCAGAATCTGATGGAACATTTTTCGGCTCAACATCCCCTAACCCTTGGAGCCTCTTCTTTGTGCCTTTTTCTCTTTAATCTCCCTGTGTTCTGTGGCTGTGACTTTAACTGCATTTGTAGGAGCTGGATAATCCATGTCCTGGCCTCTGATATAACCCATGAAGGGGTGGAATTCAGGGTCCTAAATGCAAGAAGCCACTGGGTTTAAGGAAAATAGTGGTATTAGGAAATGAGTGGTATTAAACCCTGCATCAGGAAAAAAACCCATCCAAGCAGAGTGCTGCCTCGAGCAGAGAAATAAGAAGAAGCACAGACTGTAGAAAAGGCTGTCAAGCAAATTTTTTTTTGAGAAATGTTGTTTTTAAACACAGTTTCCTGTTCAAGAAACTGGACAGAGAAACAATAACCTGTTTGTTGCTGCTCTCTCCAAGCAGCACATGCGAGGCCCCATCCAGGCTCAGCGGGGAAGGAACCCTCACTGCGGGTTTTGAAATTCCCTGCATGGCACAAACACACGTGGACCTGCTGTTTGGCTCCAGCAGGAACTGCTGTGGCTGTTATTTACTCATTTGTGTGGCAGCAGGAGTGGGGCTGCATCTAAAGATGTGTAAATTCAGACCTCGGTGGCTCCAGCAATCCGACGGGATGCGTTTCTGGAAGGAAGCCCAGCTTGTCTCA